CTTCCTTCCTTCCTTCCTTCCTTCCTTCCTTCCTTCCTTCCTTCCTTTTTTTCCTTCCTTCTCCTTCTTTGACTGCCCTTTTCTTCTTAGAGATAAATTATTTGGTCCAGGGATATAAAATAGGCAACTTCTTTCAGAGGAAACTGGGAGAAGAATTGGGGGTGGGTGGGAGAGAGAGAGCTTTTATTTGCGTTTGACAAGAGTTTGCTGGCTTTAGGAAATCAAAAACATCCTCTCCAGTTTACAGATTCATTTCTTCCCTTTGAAATCTTGAAACTCTTCCCAAGCACACACATCTCATGCAATACCAGTCTTGTATGGTCCTTTGTCTAAGAGGAGCTACTACTTCCTTCTTTTAGCCCACTGTCCACCAGTTCATTGTGCAGCCAGCTCCACAGCACCGAGTCTCAATTCCGTAGTGTGAAACTTCCTTGATCTGTTTTTTTCCGAAGGGTTCCATTTCAGCATCCCCTGGGGAAGGCTACCCTCACGAGAAGAGGTGGTAAAGGGCTTTGTTCTCCCCTCCGCACCCCCACCAAGGAAAGGGATCTTTTCCCAGGCTTCTGTCTTCCTCCAACCCACTGCTTTCATTTGTCTGGACTTTCGCTGCAGTGTGTAACACAACCTAATGACACTGAGAGGGTGAGAATGAGAGGGAGGGAGGGAAAGAGAGCGAGGGAGAGGGAGGTGATCTGATGAGAGATTTAGCTCCTTCACCGCCAGGCTGCAAAGAGCGCTGGGACCCGTGGGAAAGAGGGAAAGAGGGTCTGGCCTCTTTGCCCTCAGGGGGGTCCAGTGCCCATAAGCCACGTCTCAAGAGGAGAGGCGAAGTCTCCGACGCAGTTTGTCTGTGTCTGGGACGCAGGGGCTGGCTGCTTTCTTCTTCCCGCTCCACTCTGGAAGCCACAGCCCTCGGGGATTTATCTTGCCCATCGCTGCCTCTCGCCGCCGCGTCCTGCAAGATGTCACGAGCGACAGAAAGAGGCGACGCGGCCACCTGCCGCCCTTCTCTGCTGAGCCGCGCAAGAAGGTGAAGCCTCGCCGCTGCAGCTTCGGCTTCTGCTGAGGAGGGGAGGGGGAGAAAAAGGGGGTGTCACACTGCAACCTTGGGGAGCCCGATTCCCTCCTTCCATGAGAAGAACCTCTCCTCCTCTCTCTCTCTCTCTCTCGACCTCCTCTGGCTTCTCCAGCCATCGGGGGAGAAAGCAGCTCTTGAGCGCGGCGGGGCTTCCTTCTAGCAGAGCCATCTGAAAGCAGGAGACCACTAATGCGACGCAGAGGCGGTCATTTCAGAAGAAAAAAGGGGCTCGCCTCTGGAGACTCAGCCAAACGCCCAGGAAGACGGGGTGCCTTTTGGTGGACGTGAATTTCCCAAGCCTTGGAGGCAGGGGCGCCTCTCCTTCCAAGCACCTCGCGGGGGTTTCTCTTCCAAGCAAGTGAGTGACACCCCACCCCACCCACCCCGCCGCCAACCTCTTTCTTTGCTTTCTTTGCTTTTTTTTTTTGTGGGGAAGGGGATCCGGGGGTTCCTTTTCCAGAGCAAACCGAATTGCTCGGCCAAAAGTTCTCAACTTTTAGGACCCCTCTGCTTCTCCATGCAAGCCGAAATCCGATCAAAACAAAGGGGCATCGGCAAAGGGCCAGGACAGAAACTCTTTAGCTCTTCTGGGCTGAAAAACATCCCTAGAGGGCTGATGCCATGGATGCCATTCCTGAATAACACACTTTAAGGGAAGGACCCAACCTTCTTTTTAATTCTGAATGCAACTCTCACTTATTCTAGGAGAACCTTTCCTTTGCTATATAACAGACCTACATGCATGTATGCATGCATGCACAAACCCGAAGCCGTGTTCCTGGATAAGCCACAAGGAAAATATTTGAGGAGGAAAATGTATGGGGAACTTCTCAATTCAACCACTGCATCCGATCCCCACCTGATCGTTCAGACCAACACTCCCTATCCAGGGAGCACCCACAGACCTATCAGCTCTTCGGGTTTTTACATGTCCACAGCCAGAGTGTTAAAAGAAGGTGAAATCAATAAGCCAGACTTGGTGACATATGTGGTCCTGTTCTTCCTCCTGCTCTTGGCTGTCACCATCATTGTACTTTTTATTAACTGCCAGCTGAAACATTCTTTTTTTGCGACACTTCCTTATGATCGATCCCTGCGAGAAGCTAGGAGCCCGTGGAAAACGCAAGCTGTCTGATCTTTGGCAGTAAGAAGGGTGCGGGGAAGGTCTAAGCTAAGCTCTGTTCTGACCAGGAGGATCTGGTGAACTCTCTTATGCAATTTGTCATGGGGATATAAAGCCAGCTCTGTACAAATTAAGATTTTCTCTTCCACAACTAACATCAATACGAAACATGCTCTGAAAGAGACCTATTTCACATGCACGTGCATACTTTTTTTCTGCATGTGCAAGATGATTTCAAAAAGATGTAAATAAAAAGAATGTGTATGGATTTCCACGAGTCAATTCTTATCAACATCCATGTGTGGATCGGGGTGCGTATGATAAATGATTTCAGACTACATATTAAAAGTACGGGTATACATTTCAGCAGGTCAACTCACTATACAGCAAAGCTTGCGTTGATTAAAAAAAAAAATGCAGTCGAACTTTGATGCGTTCTTGCCAGTCTTTGCATGGTTTATTTGCACATATTTAAATAATGCCATGAAGCACTCTGTGCTGATGAAGCTGGGATCTGCCCCCCTTCCTGAATTTTTTGCCTTTTGCCTTAAGATACACATATTGTAATTTAGTGGAAGGTGCTAAAAAAAAAGAGAGATTCTAAAATCCAAGGTCTGGCTTAGTGTCTGCTTTAGTTCTTTGGAAGAGGTACTATGAAAACTTGTTTTATAATTGGATTCTTTTGAGAAAATTATATTGTGACTACTGCTGTCTGCCTATGATCCCCAAAGATACTGAAAGTGATTGCTTGCACTCAGGAACCAGAACTGCTGAAATAATGACATTTATGCATTGTAAACCTACTATAAAGTTTCATAAACTCCCGAAGCATCCTCTAGTCTCTGAAAACAATTTTACAATACTCTAGCTTAATTCCTTTCTCCACTGCTGAACTGGAATGCTATCTGCTCTCCCTGAATCAGCAGAAAATTAATTGGCATCAAAGTTTCTATTAATTGCGGGTCCTTCCCCTGCCTCTTAATTTTTTCCATCCTTTTGGGTGATAAAATCTGAGAGATTTTACCTTGGTTGGGATCACAATAAGTGGGAAAATTCTACTTTAATAGTAGAATAACTAAAGATAATTTAAGGCTGCTAACCTACATACAGTAAGAAATTCAAAGTAATAGAAACAAAATAGGGATTATGCATGATTGTGGGGTCCTTGTTGCTCTCTGAATTTGACGGTTTTCTTGCAGATGTTTTATTACTAAACATCACCAGTGCATGTTTCTTGCACTAGTCTGCAAGAAAGCCACCAAGCTCAGAGCACCAAGGACCTCATAATTTAACCCTGAGCTACAGATATTCTCTTTTATCGCTACCATGCATGGAGTACTGCAGAAAACTGTATTGTCCAAGTGTATCTTGAAGAAAGGCCATTAATCAGAATTATTGTCTATTTCAGTGGATGGCTAATAGGCTAACTTAATTATAAAATGAAATAAAGAATGACTCAATCCAGTAACTCAATTGTATTAAAGAGTTTACACTGGAAGAAAATATACTACTCTCTAATCTGAGCACTTGTATACACATCTATTTATTCAGAACCTGAATTCAGTGGGCTGTACACATCAGCAAGTGGACATAGATTAATGAATGCAAAATGTGAATTAATTGGGGGGATTGCAATAAGCTAAAGAATACATTGCATTGCATATATGGAGAGGTTGAAATGTCTTGCTGAGCCATAAAAATCTCATTCATATATATATATGTATGTATGTATGTATGTATGTATGTATGTATATGTGTGTGTGTGTGTGTGTGTGTGTGTGTGTGTGTGTGTGTATATATATATAATACAAACCTTGCTGTTTTATTCAGCTATTTTAAACTTTCAAAATTAAAACCTGTGTTTATTAATCTTATTTCTACTTTTAATCAATTGTGATTTGCCTGCAATTACTGAGAATGATGTTGTTTAATTGCCCTTGCCAATTATGTGTTTTTATTCCTTCCCTTTAACAGGGTCCATTCTTCCTTTTAAAGTAATCACTCGAATATTCAATGTTTCTAATGGCAATTGCAGGAATTTAAGACCTGTTCTGCATTTGAGTGTCTCGTCACATTTCTTTGGCAAGGCACAGTTATGGTGGGGCCTATCTCAGAACATCAGCACAGTATTCATTGGTGTCAGTTCAGCTATTGCTGTGTGTATAAAACTAATGTGAAATGCGTGCCACTGAGCAATAACAAACATAAAATAGTTTTGCATGGCTGATTCATTGGAGGGAAACTGAGTATGTTGTGGCATCCAGAATTGTGAAGGCTAGGTTTAACCCAAATAACAGGCCACAAAAGTGTGCATTAAGATGTATAACTGATACTACCATACTGAGATACCCATAGACACTGATCCATGTTTCTTAATTTAGAAAATAAGGTAGAAATCAGTTAAATATAGCTTCTTGCCAAGTCCATACTTCTATGGTCATTAACTTCAGTTTCTATGTAACATTTGATTGAAAATGTCACACGCTTTGGTATTGATCAAATGGAAGGCTTCAGTGGAAGGCAGAGTTCTGTAGAGCTGTTTATAGCTATAAAAGATTCATTCTGCTATTGCCCTAAGCAGAAACTCTATGATATATCAATAAGTTGAACTTTCTGGAAAGCTGCCTTGAAGATCGGTTATTAATGAATTAAAGAAATACTTGATTGGACACAACAACTGAATCATATGTGGAGTGAGGAGAAGACTCCATTCAGGAAAGGTAAAAATTAAAATATGCATATTAGTCGCAATAGGTTAATGTTTGGGCTACATAAATATTGGTGGTCGCAAAATCTGGCCAAATATTGGAAAGGGACAGAGGAAAGAAGGACTATTCTCATCAATATTAAACTTATATTAATATAGGTTTACCACCCAATGTATTTGTTTCTAGAGAAAGTCAATTAAATCATTAATCAAGAGTTCCCTCGGGCTCAGGCTGCTAAAACCTGGATCAAACACACCAGGCAATATAACACCTGACCTCTACATTAGTTTATACTGGTGCTGTTATGAATCTCAGTTTATTATTTTTCGGTAGCGTTTTAAAGTCAAATTAATAATCTGTATTGCTAGAGACAGCTATGCTAAAAATATTTTATTTTCAGATCTGGACAGCTTGTTACCATGCCTTTATAAAAGAACGTAGTTTCCTTGCCCACCTGTTCAGCTTTCTCTACCCTTGTGTGCTCTTCCCCGCTTTCCTTCTGCTGTGAACTATTCCAGAGAATTTTGACAGCATCTTTGAAGTTTCCCTTCATCCTTGAAACCATGAAGGTAGTAAAAGGAGAGAAATATCATTTTCATATCTTACCTACAGACCTCTCCAATAAACCTGGGAAATCAGTACATAAATAATAGCTTTTTTTTTCAACAGGCAAGTTGTATATATTGCATTATTTTTGTGAGAGCCAAATTCAAATACATGCAATGTATATAGTGTAAAGAAATGAAGGATGTGATAAGTAGACAAAACAGAATGTACACATGCCCCTCATTGAGAACTTATCCTGATAATTGTTGGACTTGGAGCTCGGAAAATTAATGTTCAAGTTCACTGAGTGATGAGACTTTGCGGTAGTCAGTTTCTTATCCTAGTTTCTCTCACAGAGTGTTGTGGAGACAAAATTAGGAAAACTTCTGTGTATATACAACTAGAAAAACGGTGGGAAATTAAAAAAAAACCCGTAACATTAATGCTGAAATTTATTATTTATTTATTATTTCATATTTCTAAATTGCCCATCTCCCTAAAAGAAAGTCTCTTTGGAATGGAAATCCATTTAAAAGATAATGTGCTTGATGAAAATTTTTGAAATCAACATTGCTATTGTCCAAAACCATTTTTGTTACATTCTCACCTTATCATGTGTAAGAAATATTACTATTTAAAAAAAGTGTTTTAACGTTTTTCATCCTTAGAAAGCTATTCTGAATGAAATAAAGATAGCAATAATCCATACAAGCTGAGAATGAAGCGAAATGTTCCACAATCCAAAAGAAATAAGGGTTTCTTGCAAAGGAAATGGTAAAAGTACCTTTTACTGGTCTGCAAATACAATAGAATTATATATATCCAATTTCTCTCAAATTGGCAACATCTGGTTACACGTCTAAATCCAGAGTTTGCAATCAGTCCCAACTAAAGCTGGAATAATTTCTTTGGCAATCTTAATGTAACTTAATTATGATTGTTTAACAAAACCTTTTCATATGTATGTCTTTCCCCACCAGCTATGGCTGATGTAATGTCACTCACACAGTAAATCAGGAGGTGACATTCTCTCACTGTTAATTCACTAGTCTAAAACTAAATTATCCAATCATTCATTATTTTCCTCCCGATTCTTTATGAAAACACACTTTTATGTTTATAAACATACTTTTGCTTAAGTTTACAATAGCCTTAAGTCATAACCAATTTTGCTGTTGCTTCTGATGCAAACACTGTATTTCCTGCTATGCAAAAGAACACTCTTAAAATGCCAGCGACTGCAGATAAAAATGGAGATAAATCAATCCTTTCCTCTGTATAGTAACCCTTGGTTTTCCAAAGGAGATCACTAATTTATCTATGAAAAACCTGTTTTAATAGTTCTTTTTTTTACAAAACTTCAAAAGGAGAGAAAAAAAGAATTGAAAAGCCCTCTTTCCAACTGAAGATGAGCCACATCAAGATACCATGCTATAAAATAATTATTGCAAGAATCTATTGAAATTAACATAAATCAGAACAAGTTGCTGCAGAGATGTAATGTTTGATGGAATCAATAGAAAGGCAGATGGAGTAAGTTCAAATGTACAGTTGGCCTGCATGTTCTACATTTTGCCAGGCAATGGCAAACCACTTCTGAAACCTTGCCAAGGCTGCAAAATTGCAGCTTTGTCCAAGTAATTACCAGCAGGCAATACATGGTAATGTATGGCAGGGCAGGGCACAACAGGAGTTGAAGGTAGATGGTAATATCAGGAATGCAGCATATTATCCCGCAACATAATTTTCCCGATTTAAGAGATAGAATTTATGTGTCTTCCACACCAAGTCTCCATCAGAGCTACAGATTTTCAGTTTTTCAAATCCAGGTGGTGGTTATGTTACTTTTAGATTCAATTATATAATTTTATTTTATTTTTTAATGCTGTAATTGCACAAAGAATGGGATACAATCACAAAACAGTTGTAG